ATGATAATGGTCAAGGTGACTTTTAAGTGACATATTTGTTTCATGAAAATTATCAATTGCTTCTAAAGCTTCACGGACGGAGGAACATCTGGACATCATGCAACAAACTTGTATTTCTTTATAAAATAACGAACATATATTGAAAATATCAAATCTGTTCATTAAGCTTTAATGAAGAATGTGCCGCGCATGTTAAACTAGGACTGGAAACTTAGCAACAAGCAGTCTCCTGCTGCTGACTGGTGTCAATTTGTCACGCTACTTTTAAATGTCGTTCAGTAATGGGGAAGTCGATTTATTTTATCGACATAACGTCGTTAAATTCAATCGCGAATTTCGTGATCGAGTTATGCAGTTTCACTAATTATTGACATGAATTATGCTTCTAATAAATAGACGGCCATTTTGTAAATTGCCTTTGGAATAGGAGACATTCAAACCAGTGTGTGCAATTTATTGAAATATTAGTATTTTACAGTAGAACGGTTACAAAAATGACGCGAATATTTTTAACAAAGTCACTTCTAAGTAGGATCTGAGCTTTTGACGGCGGTGGGTTTCAGCGCCGTGTAGTCTCATAAAAGTGTAAATAATTTCAGAGGTCCATGCTGCCTCAATCATCGCCGTGATGAAGGCGGCAAGAACCTTTTAAATATTAGTATACTTCAATCAGACTACACGTCGTTACAACCCAGACAATTTCAACTTCAGAGATACTTCTGGATAAATTTTATTGCACGGTAGCCTATCTATTCCCTGCCCAAACCACAATTAAGAAATAGTTAACGCGGCTGATAGAACGAGAAGATTTTATTCGCAATTAAGAGATTTAGGACGCTTGTATATAATACAGTGTTAATAATCAGTGGGAATTTGTTCTTCTCTTCTTATTACAGTAGTTCATTAAAATATTCTGCATATTTTGTCTTCATTCGAAATCAGGCAAATTACTTTCCTATTTGTGACAGAAATGTTTCTTGGATAAAGAAGTCAAGTACGTTACAAAATCATACGAAGCGAAAAATATTTAGGCGGGCTGTGTTTGACTTCGGGCTTATGATTTTTGCTGTATATTTACATAATACATTAAAATATATTGCATCATTGGGATTGGAAATAAATGTAATGTTCTTTAAATTCGGGCGTAATATGTATGTAAGTAAAACCACTTTTACTCTGAGATAAGAGATGAAGCACTTATCTTAGTGCCGAAGTTATGATAATGTGGCTATGGTAAAATGGTGATTAGTATTAGGGGAAAATCGAAGAACTCGGAGAGAAACGTGCTCTAGTGTCACTTTGTCCAAGAAAAATCTCACGTATTAATTTCTAGCAGAAACGGGTTACCCAGAAACCCTAACAAAATTTCATGTTTTGGCAGGACTGTAAATAATTAAATTCATACAGCAACGTAAAGTAAAGTAAAGTTTGTCCCACTATACGCCATGTAGGCGTTTGGGGTGAGTGGAGGTATAGCTCCTCTCTTCCTTGACCTCGGCACTAGATGCCGGCTTTACCCCGTAAAGGACCCCGGTACCCATTGTAGAGGAGGCTGGGTGGGCCCCAGAGCCGGTCTGGACGCAGAGGCTAGAGGAAAAATCCTCTGCCCCCGTCGGGGATCGAACCCCGGTCATCCAGCCCGTAGCTAGTCACTATACTGACTGAGCTATCCCGGCTCATTCATACAGCAACGTGGAAGTTGAAAATACTATAAACTTGAACACTTTAATGGCACTTTTGATGTCAAAATGACCTCTACAGGTTTTCTATGTGTGACTACAAGATCGTATTTATTTGGAGATGTCCGTATAGTATCTTAGAATTTTCATCACCCTGATGATGGATGCAGTAAGTACCTTTGAAACATTGGTAAAATATTAAGCTTGTACCAGACTACACGAAGCTACAACCTAGAAGGTAACATTCGTCAAACTAAACGGTTTGAGTTAAACTGCCCTTTAAAATACTTGTTAGTTTACACCACTGGAATAATTCGTTTGTATAGGCAATGAATTGTGCTATTTGTTGTAAAATTGCTGCTAAATCGTTACAGATTTTGAGTTTGCTGGAAATGATCACATTCCTAAATATAGTATTGTTTTCTTCCATGAATTATTCAGTAGAGATTCACGTTCCTAAATACATTAGGGGGTATGTCATAGTCTCATTTTGAATTCTACTCAGTTTGCGACCTTCCTACCTTACCTCAATTTTCTGAATAACATAGATTATGTATGCCGCATTGGCAAACCACAAACCGAAGGGGCGGGGAAACGGGGAGAGGAGAGACTGGGAGGCCCATAAGCAGATCCCTGTATAATATTAAAATGTATTTTAAAAACAGTCTGGGCTGGATTCAAGCAAGAATTAACTGTCATTTGTCTGCGGCGTGTAGTCTGGTATACGTTTGATAGGTGCTTGCTTCCTTCATCGTCAGAGTTCATCGCCCTCATGATGGAGGCAGCAGGGACCTCTAAAATGAATTCCGTCAGTTCAATACAGGGGCCATTAATGATTTTTCTTAAATACGGAAATAAATCTTCGGGAAAATTCGAGGCATTTATTGAGAGGCTAAGCCACTATCAGGTTCCGCTGTGGGACTTTTAAGTCAGTATGTTGTGTATACATCTCAATATTAAAATATTTAGGATTTTTGCCGTTGAGGTCCAATACAAACTTCCCTCTATGTTATGTGTTATTTCGATAAGGTAATTCTAATGTAACACAAGTCGACAGCCTTGTCTTCAGAAGACGACTAGCATGGTTATTGTAAACTACCATACCGTACCACACATTCTGTGTTTGCCAGAGATCCAAATGACACAATCGTTTGGATGAATCTCATGGCGTAGTTAATTGCTGGTAGAAGAATTAAATGACATCAGTCTCCTAACTTGACCGTCCGTCATAAGACTGGGTTATAACCTTGGCTCACTTGCAATGAGAATGTCTCTTCTGCTTTGTAATACGGACCACACACCCCTGAAACATTTCGCTGCCACCATGTGACAACTATAAGGAGAATCTAAATAACGCTCGTTTAAATATGCTGTTTCAACTACCTATACCAGGGGTGGGGAACCTTTTCATGTTGGAAGTCCGCATTAATTTGGCTGTAATCAAATTAGGCCCGCATTCAAGAAACTTCAATTAGATATACTTAAAAATGTACATTATTTTGTAGAAATCTAACAACTATTTACTTAATAATTTAAAAAAATGAAAACTATTTGTTAATTTTAAAGTTAACTAATCTTTTAATGACTTTGTTGTGTCTGCTTTTCGTTGGAAAGCATTTGAATATTTGATTGTAGCATGTATTAATAAAAATAAAAGGATTTGTTCTGTAAAATTTGGATTCAGTCAAAAGGCCGCACTTAAGGACCTAGAAGGCCACAGGTTCCCTACCCCTATACCATTTACTCTGAACATATGTAGGAAGTAACATATAATGAGTATTAACATATTTGCAACAATTTACTTTCTCTAGAGCAGCAAAAAATAAGCAAATTAAATATATTGTCTGATATAGGTCACAAGTGCAGATGAAATTGATGAATGTGCAATCGACAGTGCTGTAAGTCCTCGTTACCACAAGAGATACATTATCAGTGCTTAGTAATTAATATTTTATGCCCGTCTTACAGTTAACTTCAGAAACTGTGTTTCGTAATATTTTAAATTCTAAAAGCCTTAAGTAAAACATTAATAAAGACAGTGTGTACGCGTAGTGGCGAATTAGTGTACAGACCGTAGGATTTTGTATTGTGTGTTAATAATAGGAATATTGTTTTGTCATTTAATCGCGTGAATTAATGGGGGAGTTACTAGGGGCTGTATTACAGTTACGAATAGAAAATAATAGGAATTCGATGCTTTTATCAAGATCGAACTGTAAAATTCACCCATTCCTAACACGTGTTCTATTTGTCAAAAAATAAATTACATTGAAATCAGAAAACAAGAAAGAAAAATGACGTTTGAGTTCGGACTCTCCAACGCGTTCAGCGATGATGCATTCACCCCTATCCCGTGTTTGATTCAACCCCGTTAAGGACTCAGTGTCACGGTTTCGCCAGACGAGATTTTGGCGTTTGACACAGAAAAATCTGGAAATGTATCCCAATTGACATTCCGGAAAGTTCAGTAAGAACGAGATGCCAGTTAGTGTTCGACGATGAACACTCGTTGCACTTGTAAAAAAGAAATCCTTGCACTTGTACTGTTAAAAGACAATTTACGGACTTTCGCGTGCAGGTTACAAATCACGTGACCTACGTGTGCTCTTCCAATCCAATTCTCTTGAATTGCAACCATCAATAAATACCTTAATATGACTTGCGTGATAATTTTGATCACTCTGTATAATTACTAAATATCCAGAATAAAATATTCAAAGATTATTTTCTTAGTTTATTTCTATAGTGGTGACGAATGTTGAGATGGCTGTCTTACGTAATCTGGAGCTGTGATATTGACCGAAATTTCAGGGACGCTTACTGCGTCTAGCGTCACGGCGATAAATCCCCCCTGATGATGGAGGCAATAAAATTTTATGAAACGTCGGTTAATATCAGGCTACACTGCGCAATATCAGAAAATACAGCCGTCTTCTTATTTCCATGATCTTGTACAACTCTGCGCCAATAAAAATCACACAACTAAACTAAGAACAAGAGTAAATTGTTTGTCAACAATTCAACATAATATTCAGGTATTATAAATTTGAAATCCAATAAAAATATTTTTTGTTCTGTGTGTGCTTTGAACAATGTGACAGTTTCATACAAAGAATCAAGAATCTTTGATAATATGTTTGAGATTGCGGAATATTTTATTACGGAAGTGTATTCTGTTCATTTCAATGTTTTCCGGATTTTTTATCACGGCAGCAATTGATTGAAATGTGACAGAAGACAGAGGCTAAAGCAGTGAAAGGAGAGAGTGAGAAATTACTCAGTACTCTTACGTCATATGAATGAATTAGTGTCTGTACTTACCACAGTTCTGGCAGAGAATGTCCTTGACGGCTTTGACAGTCTTCTCGTTTCTTTTGACAGGTTCTCCACGGGCTTTGAAAATATGCTGTTCAATTTTATCAACAAACACAATGTACTTCCCTCCACGTTTTATATTCGCTCTCATAACACTATTCTTATCTCCTTCGTCATTACATTTCTGAAAATTATTATTACTTGCTGTTGCCTTTTCAGCAAACTGTAGCCTCACTGGACTTCGTAAAAACCTGGGGTCCAAACCCTTGTGGACCTTCTGTACAACAAATGTCACGTTGTACACACCGTCCCGGACTGGACTCCTGGATCTAGCTTTCCCCTCAAACACAGTTTGGGCTAAGTACGTTTTGACCCCAACATCTTCTTCAGGACATGACTTAGAAACTCCACCACTTCCAGATCTTATTCCTCCGGAAGGCGTCGCTCTGCCGAATGGGGCAGCGGTAACGAACACACTGTTATCAGTGCAAGACCCTGATAAAACTACCAATATAAATACAATCACTAGGAACACCACTTTGTCACACAAGGACCGCCAACTACGAGTCCTACTCCACGTGGTCACGTGAAGAAACCTTGTCGGCATATCCATCAGCTGTTCTGTAATACTATTTCCTTCTGTTAGTCTTTACCTTCTGTGAAGTCCGGTTGTGGGAGAGGCCCTGCTTAATCCAAATTTCTTCTGGGATGTTTACAGAACAGGAGAGTCGGGTTTAGTACAGTCGGCGAATAAGAAAACGTGATAACGAACATGCTGTTGATGGATAGTAACGGGGTGAGCATAGTTGATCCGGACGGTCGAGCTGGGGTTACTGCTCTGACTTTGGTCATGGTGCCTAATCTGGTTGTATGAGACATGGTGCTTCACGTTCGATATTTTTAAAGGAATAATTGTTTCCTCTCTCCTCTGGTACCGAGTTTGTCCCAATTTTTAAGGAATATTTCGAAAGAAAGAGGTTATTAATTCGGAGCCTATTTTTTCACTTCCTAACATATCCTTGATTCTTCTGGTTCGATATTTCGATGGAACACGCCTCCCTTTCTTTATAAGATGTCTAGTAACGAACACAAACCACGCCCCCTTCTGTAGCACGTTGCAGACACTCACAAGAACATATGTGGCGACATTTTAAATTAATGGAAACCCACACTTAAATAAAACACACTTTTACTTTAAATTTCACTTCGTGTCGAAGAAATCGTTGGTTCTTATTTGGTTTCACAATTCCTCGAGTTCAGATTTTTTTTTTAAAATCGCGATGTATCCATTAGTTAATTTTATTTTATTTAATAATTGGCGAGTGTTCTTTGCATGTGCCGTGGTGTCCCCTTGGAAAACAGCTCGTGTTGGCCGCCTTCTACCCACTGTCTTGCCGCCAGATACCGTATTTTCATACACAGCTACTCCTGCCTTGTTTTACCACCATCACCATTGCAGCAGCAGCTACTGTCGGAGCACGAGAAGATCCCGAACAAAAGCCACACAGCGCCCCGCCACCGCTCGTGTCTCTGTCTTCGTCAGCAGTAGTACTACTGCGAACAGAGGACTGCTCGGTCGCAGGGTAGGAACCGCGTACTATTACAGAGACGGTTTAGGAGCCGAAGAAAGGAGGAGGGGCTCCTCATCCTCCCCTCCATCAGGACTAGTTCGTGCTTGCGTTACTGTGAGCTTTAGCGCGCTGTACTCCCCTCACCGCAGTGGCCTTCCCCACCTCCGCTAAACAACATTTCCCCTCCCTCATCTTCATCTCTATTCTATCTCTTCCATTTCTTCGTCTTGTTCGGAAAGCCGATGTTGGACGATGTATGTCGAGCAGTAGACGATGAGTCACTAATGATTCCTTCTACTGCACTGGTTATCTGTCGGCCGCCCGGACTCAATGATATAGGAGTGACGAGGCATGCATAGTTAAATTACATTATTATGACCCGCGCATAATTACGCTTTATTTCTTAACGATTTGCAACTAAAGATAATGAGAGGACGATAAATGCCATAGATTTAAGAATACAAAGTTGAAGGGCAGAGAGAAACCGCTTACAATATACAGGAAGGAGAATAATATTAAAACTGGGTTTAAAAAATCAAATATGAATTGTAAGTCGGTCGGATTCATAAGCTCTTGTTAGCACGGTAATTAAAGTTCTGGTTTCATAAAAGGCAGGGTATTTATTGATTAACTGAGCGACTATCAGCTTCTTAAAGAGTGTGATGTATGGAGTCATGTTGCGAAATTTAACGCCCTAAAGTGTGTCCTTTTGATTTCATGGTTGAGCTGAACGCAAGAAAATTCTAATTACATTAACCGATTAAATTGCTGATTACTCCATGATTTGTAAACGAGTAGGTCTAATCGTTTCACAATTCTGAGCTTAATACTTTTGTAAGGTACATTATGTTCTATGAGAATTTCGGAACTTTTGTCGAGAACCTCGTAATAATGCAAGAATACCACTGTAATGTGATACGTCCCAAAATTCCAGAAAAAACATATAAACAATAACAATAACAAATGTGACTGGTTAGTATACTTTTACTGACGTCACCATGTATCCAGAAGGTCCTGTGATTGACAAGAGTTTCATGGTTTTCTTCTATCCTTGAGAAAATCCTGCATTGATACCTAAATTCTGTTTTGCATGTGCGTGTTTTAATCCATAACAGACATAAAAATTACATTCCACTGTAGTGAATACATTCCTTGAACTCTTCCCCAAAAATTACAATTAATAATAATAGTAACAACAATAATTATTATAAGGTGGTGCCGATAATTATTTGTGCAACTGAAAGCTTATCACAGTCATTTAGGAAATATGTTGGAACACATTCTTCGTATTCAAATAACATCACGTATGTTGACGGAAGTGTTAACTTAGCACTTGTCTGATATAAAATATATTTTCCAGAAATCATGACGCATTGAGTCCGGAGATAAGATTTTACTCTGGCTAATGGGCATATAAGCTGTTCGCACTATTCTGAGTGATATACTTTTGTTTTTCCCCCCACTCAGTGATTCCAGCCAAGTGCCTTCAAAGCTGTTTAATTCTCAAGCCCTTTAAATTCACTATATACAGTAGTCGTTCACTTCTTCAGTTGATGCAGCGAAATTAGCGGGAACACTTGAAGAGGTCTAGTGCCCGATGTCCGTTCCCTGAGCCAGCGACTACCGCGGCCGACAGCGTACGTAGAGATCCTTTCAGACCAACGCCTCAGATACGGATTCGCCTGCCGTGAAATGGGATTCATCACAAGTTGAGCGTAAGATAGTAAGCTACTAAGGCCTTCACTATTGGCCCACTACGTCAAAATACTGGACGCCATTATTTTCATGGTGTCGAATCCCCACAAGTCAGTGTAAAATTAGATAACTCTCCTAGCCGAGAATGAACAAACTCTAGTCGGTACGTATTCGCTTGTCGGCTGGACTATCTCCACACATTGTGCGCTCCTTTCTGTAAGACTATATAATTTTTCTATCCTCCTGCCATTTAATTTCTCTTAGGTCCAGATATTTTTTTTTCATCACTGATTGCCCCATCTAAGTGGTTGGCAGTTGTGATTCGTATTCGGGAGGCCCCTGGTTTAAACTCTGCCAGAAGACCGGCTATATTGACCGAGATTCCTCGTTATTTTCCTCAGTTACTCCATTAAAATTTCCGGGAGAGTACCTTAAATTAGTCCACGACCACTTTCTTTTACATCCTTTACAATTAATTGCTGGCTACTCATCCAGACATACGTCGCTATAGTATTTGTGGTATTGAAAACTTTGTTAAATGAATATTGTAAATCAAATTCTACTCAGTACGTTGATCTGAAACAAATAACGAAATATGTTTAATTATAAGACATGGACTGATTGTTATTATTTTTTAACATTCACGAGAAGGATAATTACGTACAGAGGTCGGAACAGGTGTACAAATTGCCGTCGGACAGAATAACACGATTTGTTATTTGGTATGAATTCTTGATGTGGAATCAGAATATCCTATAATGTTTCAATTGCATTACTCCCATCCGTACTGATCCTTTTTAAGAAACACGATCTTAGAAAACGATGTTGCTCTCTGAAAGTCGCAGAAACCTCAAAAGACCTCACACGACACATAGCTGTTGTAGTCCATCTATTTATAGGAGTTGACAGACTCGTGTTCATTAGCTTTCGATGTGGGTGAATCGATTCAAACCTCGATCGCCAGATATGGTTTGATGACACCAAAGACTAATCAAGAAACCTTGTGGGGGTATCTGAGAACCACGGTTGCCATGTCGGTGTGAATTTCGTAAAACTCACTCACTGTTTGATTTCATCCATTCTCTATGTTCGTTAGGTCCGGTTCTTATTTACCACTTCGTTTCCAAGTAGTTTCAATCTTTGTAAATTCTAATTCGTAATTGTCGTTGACACTCTGTGGGCAATGCAACTATTTCACACAGGTTTTTCGTCTGTTTTTTTAAATGTATTCGAGACAATAAAATTAACTCTTGAGAAGCTAACTCTTTCTCAACTAGCCAAGATTTTTCCCAAATTCACGTCCTTTGAGGTAACCCGCCATTGGGCCTTATCCCGAGACACGTGAATCCTTTTAATATTCTCCCACACTTTTTCCTTAAAATTAAATTTAATATTATCCTGTTATCAGCATCTGCATCTTTAGAATCTCTCATTTTCTCAAAAATTTGGCTTAATACGGTGACCACAAGTGTCTACCACTTGTGCCCACGTCAGTTCTGTATACATCTCCACACCTTAATTCATTATAATGTGTAGATTATAAAGTATTAATTTATTTACTTTTAAGTTTACTACAAAACCCAATTTATGTTATTGTCCTGGCGACTATTTTAATGCTGAAAGTTTTTTAAAATTGTTTCTAGGTGATTTTTGTAATAGTACGACATGGTTTCCGGTTATATTTTGAAGAATATTCATGTAAGCCTACTTAAGGGACCGTGTTATACGTAGCTTAGGCGGTTAGTTACAGGTTCATCACCGCGGAGGCCCGGGCAGTCCATATGAGATTTATGATGGACAAAATGGTACTAGGACAGGTTTCTCTCCACGCCGTTTGGATTTCCACTGGCATTATCATTCCACCGCTGTTACTTACTTGCCCATGGGGTGGACAAAGGGCCTGTTAACGGCCCAGTTCTATATCGGAACAATAAAGGAATCTTCTTAGACTGTATTTATATTTATTTACCGTTGTCGCGACCGACCGGTTAGGACGCCCATTTTCAATTTGGACGGCCTAGGATTCAAATCTGCTGTCCTGCCTAAGGATTTTTGTGGTTTTCCTCAGTACACCTAGGAACATTTCGGCTTGTCTTAAATCAGGCTATGATCACGTGCGTTTTGTTCTTTCCTAATTATTATCCATGAACCCTTTAGTCCAATGGGACGTTTTGTTTACGTGCGATAAGAATATATATATATTTTTATTGTTATTGTGAGTAGTTATTTCTCTCTGACAGATATTAAACACACTCTAGATATAGGATTTGAGGTTTTAACAGCGGTGAGTCTGAAGATTGCTGTATTCTGGGTTGTTGCGCTGCGTAGTCTGGTAGATGTCCACCAACGTTTCAGAGTTCCATCAACAGGGCCTTATGATGGAGGTAGCATGGACCCACCCAACCCAGAATACAGCAATCTTCATACTGTAGATAAATTAATGTAGGTCTAATTTAATTGTGTCAGTTAAATTACTTAAATTTCACCAATTATTGTTAAAGGATTCTTGACTGCCCGAATAACACATCGGTAGCCGTATTGCAAGTTGCTTTTGTTTGCTGGGTGATGGAAGCAGGTAAACTTCTACCACTATAAGGTACATTCCAGTAGACAGTCGATTTCATACTCGCCGATATTTTAACCTAATATCGCAACAAATTTATTTAAATATTTTTATTTTTTCATTTGTTTAATTTGTTAATTGTCTTTAATAACCATTGTCGTTAAGTCGAAATGAAACCAATCAATTATCCATTTGATTATATCCGTTTATAGCAGGGAATTTATCTGTTGGTAAAAGATAAATGTAGGTGAATCGGGAAAGAAGCGGTAGATAGACTGACTAGCTTAGACGTACGAGGTGCGATCGAAAGGTTTCCAGACTGCGCGTATAAAGACCCGTACACTTATCTCAGGTATTAAATTCATCCATCACCCTCGAAGTAGTTCCCATGGGAGTGAACACAACGATCCCAGCGCCGCTGCCAAGCCTGGAAGCATCCCTGGAAATCTTTCTTTGTCAGCCTGTCAAGCACCATCTGCGATT